ACTTACACTGAGTTTATTAAGAAATAAAAGTATTTGTATTAAGTGTGAAAGTGGCCATAAGAGATAGCAGGCAGAACAATGTAGGTTACTAAACAAAATAAAACAGAATACGTAAAGTCTTACACTAACTGTTGTTCTAATAATCACCTTCACAGACTAGACTCATTTCCAGTCTGTGCTCAGTCATTACCCTCTGCTCAATGTCACCTGTTTCTAATAGTCATCTTGGGTGATAAGCATGACTAGCAGTTGCCCCTATTGTTTGACTTCCCACCTTTATATAGATTTTGCCAAAGGTGGGAATCCTTTGTGTTCATTTTAAACATTTTCTCCCTTTCAATGGAAAAGTACAGCTTCCAGCATCAGGTGACTGGCCAAATGTCTTCTTAGGACCAACCATAGCCCTTCCTCCCAGGCTTAGAGGCAAAACAAGTCCAGGTGCAATGCATTATTTTGTTGTCAATGTACTGGCAAGCTCCTGAAGTACCATTAATGGCTCTCACTTAGCAAGACTATTTTCTTAACTCAGGTTTATACTGTGTTATTAAACATCAAATTCAGGCAGGATACATGCACACAAATAGAATATACACACTCAGAAGATTACAAGTGTTTCAATGAGTGCCTTACATGAGGCATTTTGCATAAAGCATACATACATTATTTATAGGGCTCTTAAAGGATTAAAAAATTAATCATGATTAATCATGAGATTGACATTATAGTCACGATTAATTCAGTGTTAATTACACTATGAAACAATAACAGAATACCTCTGCCCAGGCACCCATAGGCTCCCACACCTGTCACCCTGGGCCCCATGGGTTCTTCAACCTTCCCCAAGGGCTTGACTTGTATAGAAAGCAGGGCCAGGGCCAAGTCCTGACACAAATTAACATCATCCTGGGTGGCCATTGCTGTCCTGGTGCTCAGTTCTGCAGGCTACGCTGGCAGGCTATGCTACCAGCAGCATAGAAACCAGGGCATAGTGTATTGCCACCTTTACCTCTATGCTGCTGCTGCAGCTTAGGATGCCTAACAAGCAGCCTTTTGCTCAAGGCAAGGTCTGTCATGCGCAGAACATGAACCACCTGTTTGGGGAGGCTAGCCCCAAGCCCTAGCCCTTCTGCCTGAGGTCCCATCCCTCCTGCCTCTGCTAGAGCCCAGAGCCCCTCCATTGTGGCTTCCGCCTGGCTGCCCAACCACTCCCAGTCCCAAAGTGCTGGGTAGGCCCCAGCATTCCTCACCTCACAGTGCTGGGTGGTGCAAGCACTGGCACCAGTGGCCCCAAATCTTGGGCTGCAAGCCACCCTGCCCTAGCCCTAGCCCTGGTCACAGGGAATAACTGGAAGTAGGTGGGAATCTGGAATGAAGCATGGGCTGGGCCATCCCAGGCTATTTGGGGAGGCTCAGTCTCCCCCAGCCTGTAATACCTGTCACCCCTAGCCTCTGTGCTGCATCTTGCCAGAACCCATAGCCCTCCCGCAGCCTTCTGGCCATGCCTGGCTCACTGGGACCCCAATTCAGATTCTGTTTTGATGTGAAATTATGTCCGCGTACTGAAGGATGGGGAGAAGTGAGCGTGTATGTGGGAGGAGAGAGCTGTCTCTTTGGCACAGTACTCAGAAGGGGTGTTGGCAGCTGTCATAACCTTGAGGGTTGGGCAGCAGCCTGGGGACTAAGGGGTTAACTATGTCCCTATACCTAGCCAGGTATCTGCTCAGCCAATAGAAATGCAGATAGGGATTTCAAACTGAGACAAAGGATTTTTTGGTTTTTCCCTGGCCAGTTGACTTTCCAGATATTGAGGGAGACAGACAACATGTCTCTCTCCAAGAAAAGACTCTTCACCATGGCTGTGTCTAGACTGGCAACTTGCCAGCTGTCTACACTGGCCACTTGAATTTGCGCAAGAACACTGACGATCTAATGTATGATTGTCAGTGTTCTTGCGCAAATACAATGACTCTCCCGCTCGGGAAAAAGCCCTCTTGCACAAATGCTTTTGCGCAAGAGGGCCAGTGTAGACAACTGAGAACCGTTTTGCGCAAAAAAGCCCCGATGGCGAAAATGGCGATCGGGGCTTTTTTGCGCAAAACTGTGTCTAGAATGGCCACAGATGCTTTTACCGAAAAGCACCCGTGCCAATCTAGACGTTCTTTTCTGCAAATGCTTTTAACAGAAAAACTTTTCCGTTAAAAGTATTTGCAGAAAATCATGCTAGTCTAGACGTAGCCCATCTGTAAGTAGGGTAAAGTTTAGATAAATCCATTAGGTTTTATTGTTTTATGGTTTGGGAATGGGAATCTAATGTCTGTGCATTTAAAAATGGATTTTCCTCTTCTTTGTAACTAAGTTTTTGGCCTATGGGAGTCCTCCATGACTATATTAATTGGTGACATTTCCATCTACTCATTATACTTATAAGAGGAGTATTGTAGTGATAATAAATGTTCTTCCTTTTTTATTAACCTGGTATTGGTTAATTTTTGTGTCCTGGTTTTACTTTAGGGCTGAAATTTCCCAAGTGATCTCTTCCCTTGTTTTTCTTACCATTACTTGGGTGGTGGCAGTGGATTTTTATCCCCAAAATCTAAGTTTTTAAGATTTTGGGGGGAAGCTTTAAACCAAAGCCTGGAAAGATAAAGTTTGGGGGTACTTTTGCAGGTCCCCACTTCTGCATTCACCATGCCGGAATGGGGAATCAGTCTTGACAGCAGCACTTACTTCTAATCCACAGCTCAGGAGCAGACAGGTTTCCCTTGTTTCCCCGACACCAGCTCAGCAGTGACAGGGTACATGAGTGTGTGTATGAGAGGAACTTTCCCATTTCATTCCCCGCCGACAAGTCCCTGCTTTGTGCAGCAGACATGTTTGGAGTCCCCCTGCCTCTGAAGCATGCAATGGTATTCCCCTGAGCATGACACCCCTTAGGCTGGCCCTGTCCTGCAGGGAGGGGATGGTGCTGGTGGTGCAGGGCTGGGCTCCTCCCTTACCATGGAAGATGTCCCAAATTGCCCACAGGCTACAGGACGGGGTCATGATGGATTAATGGCCACAGCCAGAGCTTCCCTTTCCTCCTGGCTGCCATTGAGTTACATCCTCAGAGGTGTCTGATTAACGCCTTTAAAAAAACCCATTAATTTGTTTTCAGCTAATTGCATATATTATGCAGCTATTAATTGGCAGGCCTAGTGTTAACAGATGCATCCATTTGAAGGAGGAGAGATTTGTCTGATCGTTTACTGTTGTGTCACCGACAATAATGAATAGATCTGATGACCAGAAGTCAGAGCATAACAACTGCAAAAAATTGTTAACCATAAAATAGAAAACAAACAGCTTCAAGGCATTTCTGATTTTCATGCAGAGCTAACTTTCATGCAGAGCTAACCGGCTTTTCTCTATTTAAAAAAAATGTCACAGCACCATGCTGTTTTAAAATATTCTGGTTGCAAATGATCAGAGTATTCAAAGGTGTGAATTGTTTTCTGAAAGTAGAAAGTGCCATACAGGTACCTTAGGTATTTTCAATATGAAGTTCATGATAAGTGGATGATAAGCGACATAAACTTTTTGAAAATTACATGTTGAAAATTAGTCTGTGTGCTTTTTCATTAAAATATATGTTGTTTTAATATAGAGCAATACAGAATGTTCTCCTATACACTTCAATATGCCAGTTGTAAAATAGAGCTTGTTTCATGGAAAACTCTGTTGCCCCTCTAAATCCCATGAATTATTTCATTTCATGTTAGAGATTACATAACATCTCTGTGATTACAGTGATTACTCATACAGGAAAGCAACACTGGGAATGTTTTTTCCAACCATTTTTAATGTGATTTAGCTTCTTGAAACAGAATGGAGAGCCAACAACTATGATTATCTGAGGTTCTTTGAATTCAAGAGTCATATTTTGGGAATCAGCGATCTAGAAAATAATAACTATAGGCCAGTCAATTAGTTAACGCTATCTTATATTTAACTTAAAAACTAAGAGCATTAATTTTATTACTATATTTTCCACTGGATAGAAGAGTTATACACATGTAAAGGGTCTTAGTATGCATTTAAATCTGTACCAGAGCTGAAATTATATATTTTACAGTTGGACAGAACTTAAGATGCCTGCAAAAAATCAAAATGTTATCTACTTAGTTGTGTATTGCAATTTGTAACTTCTTTCCAATCTCCCTAAGGGTATGTCTACACTACAGCGCTAATTCGAACTAACTTATTTCGAATTAGCTAATTTAAAATAAGCTAATTCGAAATACCGCATCTAGACCCAAAAACTAATTCGAATTAGCATTTTGCTAATTCGAAATAGCGCGTCCACATTGAGTGGACCCTGAATCGAAGGTAAGGCTGGCCGGAACCAGTGCCAAAAGGGCATCAGGGTTGGACTCAGTGTGTGGGGCTGCTGTCTTAGGCTAGCCGAGGGCTGTGCTTAAAGGGACTCGACCACTCATCCCGGACAGACAGTTCTCAGGTTTCTCTGCTTGCTTGTCCACCTCCCTGAGGGACAGCAAAGCATTCGTGTCTCAGAGTGCTCTGCTTGCCCTCACTCGGGACACCACGGCACTCTGCAACATGGAACCAGACCTGTCCCTGAGCATACCGGTGAGTCTTGTGGGGTCATTGCCATCGGCCCGGATGCACTGTCTGTAGGCTGCCATCCAGATGGTCCATCGAGGGGATGTCAGGATCCAGGGAGCCCTGCAGGAGAGCTTCCACCCTGAGGAGCACTAACAGTCTCCCTGGTCTGCCTCACTGGGGGCTTGTGCCCCATTCCCCCCTCTTGTCCTTCCACTTACCGTTCCCTAGACCCCCTTCCTGATGTCAAATATAAGACATGTATTTTCAAAAAAACCAACTCTCTTTATTCAATACAACTGGGGAGGGGGAATGAATCTGTGGGGAGACTGGGGAAAGGAGGTGGGAGAGGGCAGGAGAGAGGGTGAGAGAGGGGAGGGGGAAAACTGGGAGGAGGGAGCTGAAAGGGGGAAGCAAGGGGAAGAAGGGGGAGGGGAAGCTCAGGGATCGGGGGGGGGGTCTCACTGGGCCAACCGCCTCACAGCACAGCGTGGGAGGGGGCCTCGGTGTCCCGAGGGAGATGGGGTGGAGGGTACGGAGCTTGAGGTGGGGGTGTGTGGAGATTGAGGAGGAGAGTGTGGAGGCTGAGGAGGAAGAGGTGGGGGCGGCAGTTGTTGGGGGGGCAGCAGGCACAGGACCGGCACAGGGCACCATGCTCTGCAGCAGGGTCTGCAGGTGACAGTTCCTCGCTCGGTCCTCCGCAAGCTCCTCCCGGTGGACCTGCAAGTCTTCCTGCATCCAGGCCTCAACGGTGCAGTGTAGGGCTCGGAGGGCCCCCAGATGCTGGTCCCAGTACTCCTGCTGTGTGTTAGTGGTCCGGAGCAGACTGTGGGTGCGGGAGCATGTCCCGGGCGGGGTGGTACGCCCTGCATGAGCAGCTGGTGCAGCTGTAGAGAAAGAAGAGAAGTGGTCAGTTCTCCCTGGGGACACAGTGGATGATGCCCAGCCCTACCCGACCCCCCTCCCATGACGTGAGGGCGACCGTACCCTGCACCGTCAGAGCTGCTGTGCTTGCACAGAGGCCATGGTCAGGATGTCTGGCTCTCCCCAGGACTGGGAGCTTCCCCAAGACCACACCCATGTCCCTGTGCAGGGAGGGAATCCCGGGAGCACCTACCATCCTGTGTGGGGCTGGAGACAGAGAGCAGAGCCCATGGAGTGGGCAACAGAGCCAGGCAGATGAGCTGGTGGAGGCCTGGCCTCTGCGTTCTCCCAAGGCAGCAGCCAGGAGGAGAGCCCTGGGAGAGCCCGGAAGTCTAATCTCCCCTGGTCCAGCAAATTCCATTGTTCAGGACCACTCCATGCCTGAGGGTTCTGCAGCAGGAAGGTTCAACTTGTAGTTTTAAAATAAACATAAAAGGGACACTGAGTGTTAAGGTTAAAAAGCCTCACAATCAATCCAAGTGGGCAAAAGTCACATGCACATTTTGTTTTGAAAAGTCTATACATTTCTGTATGCATGTGTGTACAGTAATTACTCATTTAACACGTGCCCGCTTAACACGTTTTTGCAATAGCATGATTTTTTTTTAGGGAACATTTTTCGAATAACACGACTGTCTCCGAAATAACACGAAAATAATCAATTGGCGGATTACTTCACGCAGCAGTATAAGTTGGTGAAAACAGTGGTAATACACGCGAGCGGATGAATACACATGGTCACAGAACGCCTCCACTCACTCACGTGTTTATCTTTGTGTTTAACAAACTGCAGTGACTTGTGTTGCTAGTTATCTTGTGTTGCTACATATCTAATGTTGACATTAATGACACAGCACCGACAAAAAATTGACTTTGCCACCACCACCTGAAACACAAACCCCACCTTTTCCATTATTTTTAATGGAAAAATTGACCCCGCATTTCCACTTAGCACGAAGATTTTCAGAAACGCATCAAGGCTACATCTAGATTGCATCCCTTTTTTGTAAAAGGGATGAAAATTAGACGTATCGCAATTGCTAATGAAGCGGGGATTTAAAACGGAGCTTCGTGATGCAGATCTTTCGGAAAATAAAGCCTTTTCTGAAAGATCCCTTATCCCTCTTAAAATAAGGGATAAGGAATCTTTCGGAAAAGGCTTTATTTTCCGAAAGATCTGCATCTACACTGGCGCTTTTTTCCGGCAAAGCTCCGTGCCGAAAAAAAGCGGCAGCCATTTTTATGCTAATGAAGTGGGGGAGATTTAAATCCCCGCTTCATTAGCAATTGCAATACGTCTAATCTGCATCCCTTTTACGAAAAAGGGATGCAATCTAGACGTAGCCCTATAGTGCTAAATGAGGAATTACTGTATTCAATCAAGTAATGTATATTTTTCTTGTATATGATGAGTACCTCTAGCTTACCAAGAACAGGTACAAAATTCAGTAGTTTAAAGTCATTGGTGTTTCCTGTGATATTTCTTTAATTTGCAAGGACTCACTTTCTATGACTCTGAATTTCACTTTGTATTTGGGATTTGATCAAACAAATATCCAAGCTAAAGTCACAAGGACAGAGCCTCCATTTTGCTACTTTGGATTCAGGCCAGCATAGTTTTGCTGACTTTGCTGAAGCAGAGCAGAAAGTCAGGCTCACTGAATTTGGCCTGGTTTCCATGCCATGTTTTCCTGATGCTTGCAGGTAATTCCAAATGCAGCCCAAGAGTCACCAGAACATTTTCAAACTGTAGGAAAATTGTTTCCAAATATCTTCTGCATGGATTTGTTTCTGTCAATCATTGGTCTATTGCATTAAAAATGAAAATTTCATAGATTGTTGAATAATGTATTTTTAATATTTTCCCTATAAATTATTGAATAAATTATTTGCAAAATATGATGATTATAAACAGAATGTGGACAGGTCTGAGAGATGCAAACAAAGGCCTTTCTTCTGTAGCTGCAGAGGGCATTTTGGTAGGAGAACAAGTACAAATATGGGGAGGGGAAAGGGATATATGCCATGGAGGCTGGATGGGAGGCATGCAAACAGTGTGCTTCTACTGTATAAAACTGCGTTCTGCACAAGTCTCATGCAACAATGAGTAGAAGTTGTGGAGGTGCGACACTGAAGGTTGACTGGGGCTAGAAGATCTTCAAATCCTTTCCTGAGAAGATGGCATAAAGGTTCATAGAAGCTACTTCAGCTTCTACGCTTGAGTAACTGCCACAGCTTGTCTGTACAACTTCTTCCCACCCCAAATTCCTCCCCATTCTGCTGCTGCCCTTATCACTCAGGCTGGGATTTGGAGACAGGATTTACCACATTATGCATTTCTTGGTGACTCAGGCTATGTCTAGACTACGCTGACCTATCAGAAAAAGGTATGCATATTGCGCTATGCAATTTGCGTACCTGTTTCTGATCATTTTTTCGGAAGAGGTTTTTCCAAAATTTGGCCTATCTACACAGAGCCAAATTTTGGAAAAGTCTCCTTTTTCAGAACAGCCCTTCTTCCTCGTGGGCGGAGGAAGACAGGGCTTTCGAAAGAGCACATCTGCTTTTCTGCAAAAATAAGCAGAAGAGCAGACACATTCCCTGGACACGGTGGAGTTTTTCCGAACAGGAGCAGCTAACAGGGAGAGGGAGTTCTACAGGTAAAAGAGGAGTAAATATGGGACCCTTGTGGTAAGTGGCTGTCTGTAGTGTGTGTGTGTGGGCGGGGGAGAGGGGGAGTTATTTGCTGTGTGCTGAGCTTGTGTTTGGTTTGTTTGTTTGTTTGTTTGAAGGAGCTTCTAAAAGGTTTGAAATCTAGAAGCCTCTGTTAATTCGCCGAGCCTCAGTCGGGGGAGGGGCTACAAGGGCTTTATAAGCCTGTGAGTCAGCGATCAGGGAGCTTGCGAACAGGAGCAACTAACAGGGAGTTTGGAGAGGGAGTTTAGAGGGGGAGGTTAGAGGGCGCTAGTGACTTCTAACCTTCTTTAAACATAACTTTTATAATAATCTATATTCCAGATGTTTAATAAGAAGCCCAGTTTATACTTTAACTTATTTATAAGAAAAATGGAGACAGAAGCCCAGCAGCAGAGTGGGGGCTATCCTGTTCATTGCGTCGTGTGTAACATGTATGATTACCTGCTCTGTGGGCGGGTGGCGTATGTGTACGCCCGTTGCAAGGATCTCCTGACCCTCAGAAACCGAGTTTGGGCTTTGGAGGTCACGGTGGCTGAACTGGAGGAGCTAAAGGAGGTAGAGAGCTATGTTGATGAGACTTTCCGGGACACTGTAGTACTGTCCCACCTCCAGTCTGAGAGCCCCAGTGCTCTTAAAGAGGCTGAAAGTCTCAAGAGAACAGAGCGTTCAATGGGAACAGAGGTAAACCATCCCGTAGTTGGGATCCTCCTTCCAGAGGATGTTGTGGTATCCTCTTGCACTGAGGATACCTCTGAGAGGAAGGGAAAGCCATTTGTTAGGAAGAGGCAGGTTTTAGTAGTGGGTGATTCGATCGTTAGAAACATAGATAGTTGGGTTTGTAATGACCGGAAGAACCATATGGTTATGATATAGTGGTGTGCTTTTAATGAAGGGTGTATCACTACCAAACATGAAGCAAAGCCCTTCTTTCCCAGGCACAGAGAGACCTCTGTCCATAACAAGCAAGTATACTTTTGGCAATCTATTTTTTTTCTCCAAAAATGTCTTTTACCTTCTCAAAAAAGATCTCTCCTGTGGTGCAGGTTTCTAATGGTAGTAAGCACCAAAAATTTTTCCTTGACAACTTCACCATTATAAAATCTAACAAACTGTGATAGTCAAGCAGTGTCACTTAAATTGCTTGATTTGGCCAATGTAAGAGACATGTATTGGGCATTTTTTAAATTGGAAAGCAGAGCTGACAAACAATCCTCGTAAATAACCTCCAGTCTGTGCCCTGCCATGCAATCAGACAGGGGGACTTGCTTTATATGGTTCACAACATCATCTCTGTTGTTATCTCCGGCAAAAAGCTGCTCCAACTTTTCCAGTGTGGCGTATAAAGGAATCAAATGCATCAGGAAAGGCCAGACAAATAAGCAGTGGCAAATTTTTAAAGTGCTTCTACACAAATGCTAGGAGTCTGACTAATAAGATGGGTGAACTAGAGCGGATGGAGACTTCTCTTAGAGGAGAATCCATTGATAGAGATTCTCTAAGCTGTAGACAGAAAGAGAGGAGGGGAGAGGACAAACCATGGGCCAGAGCAGACAAACAACCGCGTATAAAGGAATCAAATGCATCAGGAAAGGCCAGACAAATAAGCAGTGGCAAATTTTTAAAGTGCTTCTACACAAATGCTAGGAGTCTGACTAATAAGATGGGTG